TTGTAAGTGAACATGATATCTTTATTTCATTTTTATGTGATAGATCGAACCCAGTGCCTCACAAGTGCTAGCAAATCGTTCTCTACCACTGAGCTACAACCCGCAGTCCCTCCTAGGCACTTCTGAGTCACAAGTTAGCTGAGCTATTTCTTTGTTCTTCTAACTTCTAATTCTGGTTAAAATGTATTTGGATTTTTATTTTTGAGTACTTATGATGCCAGACACTAATGCTTTAAAAAAGTTTTGCCCAGAGAGAATTTAACATACTTTTCTTATTCATTAATCACCTCATTCTACTGCCCTATGCTACAGTTAATTATGGTTTTTATTACTTGGTAATAAAGGTTACATTTATTTTTGTAACTGTCAAGAGTAGCCACGTGGATCACCGAGTTTTCTTACTCCTGTCATAGAAAGAATGTTGACCCGTGGTTTGTGTCGAATATATAGAGATCCTTGTCTTATGTAACAGAACGTGGGCCGTTTACTTAGATTTCACGAACTAAGCCAGAAAATAAGACGATTATTACGGTATGTGTCTGAAGGTGCCCACAGGTTCTTAACTTGACCCTTGGGGCGCAGGAGAACTGGAGGCAGGTGGGTGGGCGCGGGGCCCATTCATAAACCCAGGGTTCCCAGCTGCCCCTCTCATTGGCCCTGGGGGAAAGGGGCGTGCCCCACGGGTGGAGTGCGCCCTGGGCCTTGGGGAGTGGGAAAATCCACGCTTGGGTGGAGCGAGGGGGCGTTCCTTGGTTTTCCAGGCTGGACTTCCTTTTCCCCTTGCTGTGTTCCTCCTCGCTCCCCCGGGGTGGGGATGGTACGTCCCACCCTCCTCGCATTCCCGCCCCTCCTCCTTTCCCGAAGCAGTGGCTTCGCCGCCATCTTGGCACCTCAGGTTGAGGGAACGAGCCAAGCCCGGGCTTTTGAAGGGGGGGGTTAGGACAGGGAGTTCCTCCCGCGGTACACAGTGAGACCTGCCCATCCCTCCTCCTCTCCCTGCTCCGGCCCGGGGTTCTGAGGCTTGCGGAGGCCGGCGGGATTCCTGTCAGGCCCGGGGAGGAGGGGCGGCCGCTGCCTCCCCGGGACGGGCGGTACCACCCGGGTGGGGAGGTGAGGGCCTGGTGACGACCGGGCGGTGGCACCGCCTGGGGGCGGGGTGCGGGAGCGGCCAGCTCCCTGGGGCGGGGCGGGGCGGACGGGGAGGGCGGGGCGTGGGGCGGACGGAACCAACGGGGTGGGGTGGGGAGGTAACGGGACGGGCGCGACCATGGCGCGGTGAGGCAGCGGGGGTGGGGATCGGTCCGGGGGAGGCCTGGGGCCGCTGGCTTGTGCGCTGTCTTCGCCGCCCCCCCTTTCGCCGCCGCCGCCGCCCCGGGCATGTCGTCCAACTGCACTAGCACCACGGCGGTGGCGGTGGCGCCGCTCAGCGCCAGCAAGACCAAGACCAAGAAGAAGCATTTCGTGTGCCAGAAAGTGAAGCTATTCCGGGCCAGCGAGCCGATCCTCAGCGTCTTGATGTGGGGGGTGAACCACACGGTAACCAGCTCCCCCGCTTGTCCCCTTGCCCCTGGCCCTCGCCCCGCGGGCCCTGAGGGTGACACCTGCAGCCCCTGGCCAAGCCACTTGCACGCACCACCGCCCACCCTTGCTTGCCGTCCGGCCGCGGTGCACTCCCCGAACGCCACGCGAGGCCTGGTGTCTCCGCGGTGTGCGGTCGCGGTCTTCCCTCCAGYCCCTCTGGCTTCCTGCGTCCGTGTGCTCGTTTCGGGCTATCCCTGGAGCTCAGAGGGAAGGCCTGGCTGCAGCGGAATCCCTTTGGTCCCCTCTGACTCGCTTCTCATCTCGTCCTGTTAGTTACATGTGTATTCCTCCTTGCCCCTCGTAGCTGGCTGCCGGATCATTGTCCCGTTGACAGGGCAAGTGGCACTGGCCTGCGTGAATATTCTTCTGTGTATAGTCGCTTGGTTGGGGTGGCTGCTCAAAGTTTCCCATCCTCCAGGCCCTACTATGGAAATCTCCCTGGATTTGTTTTTTTCTTGAACGAGATGTATCGACTGGAGAAGCACAGATTCTTTGGAGTACAGACACGGTACTAGGGTCCTTCTGGAAGAGGGAGGAGAGTAAATGTAACAGTCTTGAGAGTAGTAGAGGCCTGATTATAAGGACTGTTCATAATTTAAATAATGTGTCTTCCCTATTCTGTGGTGTTCATTTCAAAGACTGACTTTTCTACTTTATGGTTCTCAAGGATGTACTAATGGTGACTGTTGTCCATCAGCTTTGGATCTTGGGGTGTTTTGAGATTGTCCATCAGCTCTGCCAGGAAGTTGGATCTGGATACAGAATTTGAGCTGGGTGACTTTTTTAGAGCTGTTTGTTTAGGGTCTGTCTTCTCTTCTAGACACTTGCTCTTTGCCTTCTGACCATTTCTTTGTGAGTTCCTACACTGGAAATGAGTAGGGGAAGTAAAAAGACCTGAAACACCACCTTTGCCAGCTATAAGTTTGGAATGAGGAAAATGAAGCTTTGGGTTTTCTGTGGACTTCAATTCTTTAGATTCCCTGGTTTTTCTGAACTCTTGAAATTAGACCGAATGATGACCAGGGATCCAAGACTTTGCTTTGCTTTGGTAGAGGAGCTAGATGTGGCTTTGGCTGGAGGTTGATGAACCATAGCCTGAGCCATGGTTTTGTGTGATACATCTGATATAGAAAAGCACATGTTATATGTGAGGTCTTAGTTGGTCATGGGTAGATTGCCTTTCATTGTCATTACTGGGATTAGTGAGGGTCCTGGCAGGGTAGTGAGTACACTGGTTTAATGTTCAGACCTCTAGGAGCTGCTTTGGGCCAACAATCCAGCAGAATTTGCTCCTCCTGCTACCTGCTGCCACCAGGGTCATCTGGCAACATTTTGTGGGAAACTGGGTCATCAAAATGTGAACCCTGTGTCCCTTTCTGGAAGTCATTCCTTGATTTTATTCTCTATCCTGCATCTCATTAGAAAGCGTTATGTCTCTGTAGAGAACTGGGAGAAGCCTAAGTTTGAAATAGCTGGAAGGAACTTGGGTCCTGTGTGAAAGAGTAGCTTGCCTGTGATTACAGCAAGAGATGGAGTTCATTGTCCAGCACCACAGGGCTTTATTTTCTTTGCCTCCTGTTCCTTTTCCTCACATCCCAGGATAGATGGGAGCTATAGTCTTGCTAGAAAATCTGAATATGTGCTCTGGGGTGTGTGCTTGTGCATGCCGTTTCCTGAGGGTGGTGCTTTGTCTGCTACTAGATAGGCAGCAAGTCTGCCCAGGCAATGAGATGAAAGCCTTTGAATGGCAGATGGACACGGTATTCACCTTCTTCTTTGCCAACTTTAAAACAGTTTGATGCTGGATGTAATGGCACATGCTTGTGATCCCAGCAATTCAGAAGGCTGAGACAGGAGGATAGCAAGTTGGAGGCCAGCCTGGGCAACTAAGCGAGACCGTATCTCAAAAATTAAAAAATAAAGGGTTGGAAGTGTAACTCAATGATAAAAGTGCAGTTAAGAAAGTTTGAGGAGCTAGCTGGAAAGGCATTGACTTTTAAGCAAGAGCCATGCATCTAAATATGAATGGGTATACCTGGGTGGGATGGATATAGAGCACCACTATCCTGGACAGGTAAGCTTTAGAGGTGAGTTAGTCTCTTGTTTTATTGCTTCATTCTAATCTATAAGAAGGTGTAGTAATTTAGAGTCCCCATCTGGGAAGTGGAGACACATGCCCAGAAGAATATAAAATCTTGCAATTCTCTT